CTTCCTGCCCCCCCGCCCCTCCTGCCGCCAGCCCCGCGCCGATGGCCACGTGCGTCAGCCCCGCGCTCTGGCGGCCCCGGGGCATCCGCGCGGCCTCTCCCGGGGCGGGGGCTCCCGGGACTAAGCCCGACCTGCGTCTACTTCACGGCCATCGGAACCCGAGCTGCAGGGAGTCCCGTAGAAAGGCAGCGCAGGGCGCACGTGCCTCAGCCCCCTTTTTTTATTTTTATTTTTTTTAATTATTCTCACGGCACCACGCTCAGCACCACCCATACCGCTAAGAGAGAAAATCGGTCTGGCACACTGGCCTGGGCCCTGGGAGAAGAGGGGGTTTAGGACATGGGTAGGTAAGCCCCAGCACGGCGCGCACAGCCACTCTGCTCGGCCCACGCACCTGGGGCACAGGCAGGGGAGCTGCGAGGGCCCCGGCCCCTTGCCCGCCCTTTGCCTCACGGCCTCGAGCACCCGCTGCCAGCAACAAGCTGGGCCGGGGCTCTGCAGACCCCAGAGCATCTGCTTGCAGCTTGTCCACTGCCTGCTGCAAGCAGCCCCGTGGCAGAGGCCTGCCCAGAGCCTGGGACTAGCTTGGCAGGCAGCGGGGAGGCTGCACACAGCTGCACTGGCATCCACAGAGACCTGGCCCACGCTGCACATGCAGCTTGGGGCAGACAGCAGGGAAGATGTCAGGGCTGAGCTGCCACAACAAAGATTGGGCCCGCTGCAGCTCCCCGGCTGTCCATCCCTGCCTGCCAACATCTTACAGGTTGCTGGCGTCTTTGGCACTCTGCCCAAAAATGTTGCCAACCTCTAGTTTTGGAGATGATGTTAAAAGGCAGAGGGGGGGGTTACGAAAAGGATACAAGGGGATGAGTGATAGGGAAGGAGCAAGCTTTTGGAAGTCACAGGCCAGAGGGAGTAGTAGCTGAGGGGACATTGGAGATGGGAGTGTTGTAACACTAGTACCTGGTAGCCACATGTGGGTGCTGAAATGTAGACTCATCTCCCATCTCTGCCCCAGTCTTTTCCAGCATCTAAGGGACTGCTGTCCCTAAGATAAAACACTTTCCCAGTCTCCCCTACATATTATCTACAGGGCTGTCCATGGGGGGTGGTTAGCCCCATTCATCTTGGCATACAGCAGAGTGGGAGGAGGCTGTCACTTGAAGGGGTCTGCACCCTTTTCTCTGCTCTATGAGAACCAGCATTTGGATAAATCATGCTACTCTGGTGTGGTCCAGGTCTCATCCATGCCTCCCCAGTGAGCTGACATCTGAAAACACTTCTGAGGAGGAAGCTGAAAGCTTGAGAGGAGGACAAACATTTTTGCTAAACTTAGGTTCTAAAGCACTCTCTGGAGGGAGACGGGTGAAAACACCCACTGAGATGAATGGAGCAGTTCACACATTTCACAACTGTTGTTTCAACCTGTATTCATATGCATGGATTTAATCAGTACAGAACATCCCTTTTTGTGAAGTGGCCCATTTAGCTCAATGTGAGCATCTCTGCTCTGTATGCAAGTTCAGCTCAAGTGTCAACTCAGCCCACTCTTATTTGCTACTACTTGGAGATTTTGCCTGCCTTAAAGGCATAGTTTCTCAGCCTGTGGTACATGTACCTCTGGGGATACACAAGGCACAGGCAGGGGGTACACAGGCACCAAGAACCCCTGTAGTAAGGGGGCACCGCCACTCCCTCCGCTGCCACTGGGTTTGCGTCCAGCTGCTTGCTGCCCCCATCTCCCCAAGCCGGCCACAGGCACACAGATACCCACGCGCTCCCCACTGACTCAGCCACAGGCAGGTAAGTTTCTTTATCCCACACAGTGCAGGAGGGAGTACAGTAGGGGCAAGGCACTTCCCCACTCTCCTGCACTGTGGGAACTGCCCCATGACCTGGCCTGCCCGGGGCCCAGTTCACTCGCGCAGGAGGGAGCAGGCTGCCACTGTAGGCTGGGGCTAGTGGCAGCACCGGGCTCTTCCCGGCACTCAGGGCGGACTGCCGTGATGGGGTGGCAGCAGCCCCCCTCCCAAAATTCACTGTAGCCCTCCCCAAACTGCCCCCCAGTGTCATCACTGAACACTGGGAAAGCCTAGTGCCACCATCGACCTCCGCCTGTGGCCAGCCTGGGCTCAGCAGCTGCAGCAAGCAGCTGCACCGGGCTCCACACCTCAGAGCAGAGAGCAGGGGAGGGTTGCACTGCCTCAGACCCTATCCCCAACTCTGTTCTGAGGCACACGTACAGTCACTGGTATGGAGCGGATGCCAGGGCTGCAGAGCCCAGCGCAGCTGTTTGCAGCCTGCCCACTGCGGCTGCCCAGAGCCCAGGCTGGCTACAGGCAGGGGTCAGGGGTGGCACTGAGCTTTTCTCCGTGCTGCCTCAGGCCCCCCCCCACCAGCTGCTCTGCTCCAAGGCACACAATGGTGAAGCCCGGAGCAGCTCTTTGCAGCCTCCTGGCTGCAGCCAGCCCAGGCTCAGGATAGCTGCTGCCAGCCACAGAGCCCAGGGTGCTTGCAGCCTCCCAGCTGCCTGTTTGGAACAGCCTGGGCTCCATGGCTGGCAGCAGCTGCCTCCTTGTCAGTCTCTCACCCTCTTTTCCTCTCAGAAGTATGGCAAAAAATTTGGTGTGCCACACATTGTGTGGCACTTCAAATTCCCTAGTAATAATTTGGTGTGTCGCACTTTGCGTGGCACTGGGCTCAGCCCTCCTAGCTTTGGCCAACATCACCTCTAGCCCAGGTACATACTTAAGTTGTACAACTCTGGTGTAAAAGGTGGCAACCCTACCCACACCAGATCAGACATCTGTCATATCACAGCCCTTCTTCCAACATATGGCACACATTAGTCTGTAAATATAAAATCCCCTGGAAAATTGAGTGTTGGAATACTTATTTAAGAACTTTCAGAAGTTAAGGGGTAGTTGCTACTCAAAAGGTTGAGAAACACTGCCTTAAGGAACTGAAAGTTAGCCTACTCCACAGAAAGAACACTACATCTGTTTAGATTTACCCTAATGTACATAAACCCACTTAGCCTAACATGCATAATGCTACCCAACATTATCCTCTCGCTTTTCTGTCATTAAATCGTACTCCTACCTAACTTCTGGTGATCACCTGGACAAAACAAACTTGTGCCTTTTTACCAACACAACCTGCACAGTGCAATGCTGGAGTGAGGTATACTGGAACTTTTAGAAAGCCTTCTGGGTACTTGACTACTAAACAAATCCCCCCCCCCCAGCTCTTATCTAGTCTAAACAATCCCAGTTTTTTCAGCCTTTTCTCATAAGTCATGTTTTTCAGGCCTCTAATAATTTTTGTTGCTCTCTGCTGGACTTTCCAATCTGTCCACTTCTGTCTTGGAAGTGTGGGACCAAGAACTGGACACAATATGCCAGATGAGGCCTCACCAGTGCTGAATGTAGTGGAACAATCTCTTCCCTGAATTTGCAAGAAACACTCCTGTCAATACAACCCAGTATATTGTTGGCTTTTTTGCAAAGAGATCCCATTCATTCACAATTTACGGTTTATTGCAACTCCCACCCCCAAGGTCCTTCTCCCATATATTCCCCAAGTCCATATTTGTTCATGTAATTATTCCACCACACATGCAAGACTTTGAATTGAATTTTGTTTAATTAATCGTGGACCACTTCTATTTATCCTGATCATTCTGAACCCTAGCTCTACCATCCAGTGCATCTGCAGCTCCACCCAACTTGGTTTCATCTGCAAAATTTGCTAAACTTGCACTCAGTCCCATTCTCCAAATTGAGAATTTCCTTTTTATTGCTTTTTACATTGCTTGCCTGTTGCATCTCATTAATATATTTCCCTAAAAAGGTGGCAACCTGGGAATAGGAGGTACTCATCTTCCCCTCTGGCTTCTTGGTTCCATAAGTGAGATTTAAGAAAAAGTACAAGTAGTGTAATTTAATTTCCCCACTCCTTTCTTACCAGTTTTGATCAACAGTAAAATAACTGACAACAGCCACATTCACATGACATTTCATCATTGGCATCCACATTAACACCCTGCCAAGATGAATTAATATAGGTTGTTCACAACTCTTAGAACTAAGTTTTTTAAGCTCACATAGCTACATCAGAAAATCTAAACCAGATATTAATCTAAGGGCTAATCTAAACCAAAAGGTACCACCAGGGTAGCTACCCTGGCAGTCGTCATAGCAAAACTCCTGAGCTGAGACGCAACTTATGCTGACAGAAGGTATTCTGTCACCACCATTAAAATATCCCTTTTTTTGTTTATGGCGTTACCAACAAAAGGATTTTTTTTGACACTGCATGTTCTGTCTTTCTAAGGCAGGTGGGGAAGGGGTGTTGCCAGTATAGCCAAGGCCTAGTCTATACAATACTGTTCAGTCACCAGAACTCTGGTGGCACACTTTGAAGGCTTCTCTGCCAACAGAATTACATCACCTTTGCCCTGTGAAAGAA